GGGGACTGGGAGAAATGTCCTCCACCGAACCATGTCTAAATGGCTCTCAGCACACAGCCTCCAGAGAGACATCAGCCTGGGGGAGCAGGGAGGCTTCTGGAGACATCAATGAACAGAAAATAAACCGCATCTGGCAAGATCAACGCTGTAAGTCCGCACTGCGATAAACAGAGATGTCAACCACGCCTGTGCCTGCCCGGGCCGGGTGCAGCCGTTCCTCGCTCTGTTAGAATCTGCAGAGGAATAAGCCGGGCTTGTGCTAATTCCTTTGTCATTAATAATGGGTCACATTTGCTGAGACCTTACTACGTGCCAGGCACTGTGCTGGGAGGTTTTATTTCAATTCCTCTTGAGAATCCTCAGAGCCTCTGTTTGGAGGGAAGACAATGCAGCTCACTGACCTCAGGCTACCCAGGGCCCTGGAGGAGCCCCAGATCTCCTCTTGATGAGTAGGTTGCATCTGCTTAGGGACCTGGCCACAAAGGGAAGAGTGCCAGAGTCAACAGACATCTAAGTCTGAACATGATGTGCTTCTGGGGCTACCAGAGCCAAGGGGCGCTCCTAAGACAAAGGACCGGCTGTTTAGCACCCAAGGCTCTGATTCCCACCTCCTGCAGGCGCGGGGTGGCGGGACAGCACAGGTCAGAGGGACGAGGGATTGAGGGGGACTCGGGGCTTGCAAACAGGCCGACCTGGCCTGTTTTTCCTGGGTTTTCCACTGACAAGCTGTGGCACCTCAAGCTGATAGTCTCCTCACCTCCTGGAGCCTCGGTTTCCCCAAGAGAAAATGGGAGTAATAACGCCTAGTTTGCAGGGTTGATGTGAGAGTGACAGGAGCTAATCACATCAAATGGTCCATCCTGTCCTTGCCATCTCCGTGCAATAAGAGCCACTACTAACTGAGTGATGGGTGCACCAGACAAGGAACTTGCATCAAGATGTGATCTGAGGCCTGACCGGTGCTGCCCAGTGATTAGAGCGTCGGCCCGGGCACCGAAGGGTCACGGGTTTGATTCCTGGTCAAGGGCATGTACCTGGGTTGCAGGTTCGATCCCTGGCCCCTATCGGGGCGTATGCAGGAGTCAACCAATCGATGTGTCTTCCACATCTATGTCCCCCAACCCCCCTCTCCCTCTACCTCTCTTTCCCTCCCTCCCTCCATTCCTCTCTCTAAAAATCAATGGAAAAAATATCCTTGGGTGGGGTTAACAACAACAAATCTGATTTCTTTCCTCTTCTCACCCCCACCCTGCTCCATACCGGCTGCAAGCACATTTCCTGCTCATTCCAAAGCCATAACAATTTGGTGCCTAATCTAAAATCCTGTGCCATTTTGCCTGATTTAAATTTGGTGGCTACCCTCTATGGAAATTTCCCCTCAGAGGGACAACTGACAAAGAGCCAGGCATTCAGAAGGATCACGCAGGAAAGAACGTGTTTGTTCTAAAAAGGCAAACCTTCCTTCTCAGAAAAGATTTTTTTTTCCTGCCAAGAAAGCTGAGAACAGATTGTAGAACTTCATCAGAGCTCACGGATTGAAAAGGCAAAGCCTCGGAAAGGAGGGAGGACGGGGCATGGTGGGATGCCAATAGGTGTTACTTTTTTCTTGGGAATACTGAAGGAAAAAAAAAAAAATCAGTTGAAATGACAGCTTCTTCCAATGAACTCTTGATAGTGAAAATATCACCAGAGGGCTCAAAACAGAAGAGTAATTACTGGAAGTGGTATTTTGGGGGCGTGCAGATGACTCAATATCCAGCAATGGGATGTTAAGCAGTGTCTTCCTGCATCCCACACGCAGCTCAGTGTTCTCATGGAAGGCCATGTTCCCAGGGATAGGTTGTTTTTTTTTAAATATACACAAGGGATTCTACCTGTAGGAAACCTGTTAATTACTTCCATTAGCTCTTTTTAAAAATTTATTTGTTGATGGTTTTTTCAGAGAGAGGGAGGAAGAGAGAGAAAAACATCAGTTTGTTGTTCCACTTGTTATGCATCTTTGGTTCATTCTTATATGTGCCCTGACCAGGGATTGAACCCACAACCTTGGCGTATTAGGAGGACACCCTAACCAACTGAGCTATCTGGCCAGGGTGCTTCTATTAGCTCTTGATTGGGAACACTGTGGTCTTCCAGAACATTCTGAGCCCCCACTGTTATCAGAAAATAAGTTAACAATCTTTTTTTGGTAAGTGAATAATCTTTATGAGCATATCACTTCTGTAAATTTGCCACAGCAACGTTGACTCTTCCAAGAGAGGGTAAAGTCTCCCTTGAGACGAGGCAAGTTCCAGGGAAGGAGACACAGAAAGGTAGCATCTTTCCCGCTTGTGGGCAAAACCGGTCTACAGGCTGTTGCCTCCCCTTCCCATTTGCCTGGGATCTGAGTGTGGGAGTCGAAGGATGAGCCTCCCCTCCCCGCCCCAGTAAAAGGCAGTAAAATCCTGCAGCCTCTCCACAACCAAGTGGCCTGGTTTCTGCAGCTTCCCACGTCTCTGAGGCCGGCATGCCAACTGCATTTTATGGAAAGCCAGGGGGTAGGGAGAGAACGAAAGAGAAGGTTCTAGGACCTGGCAATCTGGATGTGACCTCCTTAAGTTATTCAAGCAACTTGTTTTTATCCAGTATTTATCCATGGAGAGATTTGATTGGGAAGGCTGATGAGGTTTCAGGGAAAGGTCTGCGGCGGGTAAAAATAGTCTTGGCTTCAGGGTGGAAATCCAAGCCCTGTCAAGGGTCCTTCCAGACTATTTCTCCTTTGGCTGGTCATAGCAGGGAGCTTTTACTTCGTGAGGGACCTCTAAGGAACGCTGCTATCACAACACAGGCAGACCGCAGAGGTTCCCCAGGGGGGCCTGGGAGCCGGGGCAGGCATGGTCTTGGGTCTACCACAAAGCTGACATCTTGGCCCAGAAACCATGTCTATGCTCAGATTCCAGCACCAAGTCACCCAGCTTCCCTCGTCCTCTGCGGAGGCTGTGGCTGGGGTGTGGGGCTGACTCACCATCATCTCCTCTGGGTTCCCACTGGCGATCTCCACCACCCTCAGGGCAGGGTCCACTTTCACCTTGGCGCGGGTCATGAACTGGATGACAGATGAACTGTCCTGTGGAGGGAACAACACAGTTCACTGTAAGATCTTTCAGTGACAGTGGCTGGGCCTTGACAATGGCTGGGTACCAGGTAGAACTGAAATTCCAAGATTCCACGTGGACCGGACAAAAATTGTATCACTGAATCAGATACCTCCCCCTCCCAGGCACCCACATGAACAGAGATCGCCAGTCTTTCTCTTGAGAAATCTCTCACATCACGGTGGATGCTGAAAAACGAAGGAGTCTTGCCAATTATCAACACATGCAAGTATGTGTGCTGTGGTTTCCAAGCTCAAAGAGCCAGATATTTGGATATTGATATTGACATAGTCACAAAGAGTAGAGAATAAATAAAGCTGTTTAATTGTGTAAAACAAATCCAGGCCTGGCATTCCATAGCAGGCATCTGATTTACATTCTTAAGCATCCTCCTGCCCTGACCACAACCCTCAAACCCTTCCCATGAGTTGCTTTTAACTCTTCCTTTGCTCTTCAGTGAAGATGTTTTGGGTTCAAAGCCATTAAACATGGAAAGAGGGTACCTGATGGAGACATGAGAAAGCAGGAAGCATCTGCTTACAGACTGGGCTATGCCTGAAGAGACAGGGCTGGGATGGGCATGAGCATCTCTAAGACTCAGGAAGAGTCCACCAGCCAGACGCAGTCAAAAGCCTTGGTGTGGGCTCAGAGTCAAAGCCACTGATCCAGAAAATGGGAAAATGGTTCCAAGGCAGGGATGGAGAAGGAATTTGGAGAAAGGCAGGGTTTGGCAAAATATGGCTTAGGAAAGGGCCAGAACCTCGGTCCAGTGGTGCGGATGAACTGTGGAGCAGAGAGGCAGCCTGGCCTCGGTGGTAGAAACAGAGGGCAGACAACTGGAGCACTTAGCATCCCACCTGCGGGATAGCTGGGGCTCTGCCAGCCAGGTGTCTTGCAGTGCCCCCACCCACATCTGCTCAGCTTGCCTGCCATGCAAGGAGGCAGGTATCAGATGCCAACTCGGGCCCACGGCTGGTTAAGCCCACCGTCCAAAAAGAAAGTGGAGATCTCTCTCTATGGGAAGCAGTTCCGAGGGGGCCCTCTGCTCACCTCTGACAAAGAAACCACAAATATACATATATATATTGTTAATCTTCACCCAAGGATTTTTTTTCTCATTGCTTTTTAGAGAGTGGAAGGAAAGGAGGGAGGGAGAGAGAGGAGAGAGAAGAGAGAGAGAGAGGGAGAGAGAGAGAGAGACACTGATGTGAGAGAGACACATCAATTGGATGCCTCCTGCATGCACCCCTACTGGGGCTGGGGATCAAACCTGCAACCCAAGTACGTGCTCTTGACCAGAAGTCAACCCGTGACCCTTCGGTGCATAGGCCAACACTCTAACCACCGAGCAACACCAGCCAGGGCAATAAAGCACATTTTAAATGCCCCGGGAAGCTTGTCACTCAAAGGTAATAGTCCAGTTAGCTCACATTAAGCAGGAAATAATTTTGTATGCAAATAACCTTTTCACCAATTTTAATAGTTTTATAAATTGTGGGTTTATGTGTCAGGATATACTATATTTTCAATCTGGGATCATCATCATCATCATCATCTCAGGGATTGATCATGACAATAATAATAACTGTAATAAGGACGCTAACTGTCCAAGTTAAAGCTGAGCAGACGAGGGACCCGCCTCAGCACAGGCCTTGGTGGCCCCAGAACACTTTCAAAGAAATCTAAACCCTCTGATAATTTTTTAAAAAGCAGATCCTACATTTCAAATGCAAACTTAAGGTCAAAACAATAAAACCTCAAATTCCCTTGTCTGGGGCCAGACCTTGAGGTCAAAGGAAAATAAACAGGCTGGAGGCGAAGGGGAACCACAAGGCTGGCGCCGCGCCGCGTCCTGAGGGAGCTGGAGGCTCCTGGAGCCATCTCCCGCACGGCTCCCGAGGGAGGGGACCGACGTGACACTGCAAGCTCCAGCAGCAGCTGGGGCCCCAGCTGGCCTCCAGGTCAGCCTCGCTCTAGGCCTGGAGTTTCTGCTGAAAGGCCCTTTCAGGGGGAATGACTCTGCAACACCGCATGACACCCCATGGCTTTCTGCTCTCTCGGGGCGCAGACTGCACCGCATGGCCCGTGGGGGCAGCAGTCAGTGGGACATGCTGCTTGGCCAAGGGTCTCCACGGATCACTGAGAGGCAGCTGCGGAAGGTCAGGCCACAGAGCTGTGTGCAAGGAAGGCTGGAGGCCCGGCACGTAAGGTAAACCCAACAACAGACATAGGAGCAGCGGCCACCTGGGTTCAGGGTGAAGGAGAGTCAGGGTGGCTTCCCGCCATCGGTGCCAACGTCAGGGCTCGGTTGACAGTGGGGAATAAAACTGTCACCAGGGCCATTTCTCAAGCACACGGACAGGCTGGGTAAGTCTACACAATCACAGTCCGTCGCCTGCCCTGGGGACCCAGGCCAGGGAGACACTTGCTGTGATGCAGGACTTCTAGACTCCCTCTGGAACCACAGAAGGGCCTGTGGTGCTCTAACTCGTCCGGGTCCTCTCGCAACACTGTCCTCTTTCAGGGGACAGGAACATCAGGGAAGCTCTGCTATGTGAGCCCGACATGCCCCAAACCTGTTTCCCTCCCCAGGAAACCAGAGCCAGCAGAACTGTGCAGGGCTCTCCATGGGTGTGTGTGGGCTGCCCTGGATCCATGTGGAAAGTGGGGAAAACACCCCATATTCCCTGTTGCCCGTGATTGCTCAGGGCGGTGTGTGACTGCCATGCTTAATTTAAAAAATAACACTGGAATGACTTTCCTAAGGATATTCATACTCACACACTGACAGGTTTATACGGACTGACACACTTAGTTCTGCCAAAGGAAAATAAATAGAATCTCTGTGGCTAACATGCATATTTAGTTTTATCTCTGGGTGTGATTATTTTTAAAGCATCTTGTTGGATGTGGCCTTTCGTACTCAGCAGCTCTTCTGTCAAAATAAATCATAGAGAATTTGTGTGACTTTCTAAGGGCCACCGATTCACTGACTGAGGTATTTTTTTATGAACTACTTTGGATAAACTCATAATAGCAAAGTGACTTTGAGGTTCCAAAGTTGGACTTCTCTGAAACAAGGTGGCATCTAAACAAGGGTCACAGACTACAACCCACGGGTCAAACCTGGCCCTTTGCCTGTTTTGGTAAGAGTCTGATTGGAACACAGCCATGCCCCTTAGTTTGAGGACTGCCTATGACTGCTTAAACAACACAATTGCAGAGTTGAGCAGTGGCCAAAGACTGTAGGGCCCCACGAGTCTCAAATATTTACTACTGGTCCTTTACCGCAAAGGTTTGCCAACCCCTTGTCTAAAATGTGGTCCCCAGACCAGCAGTATTGGCATCACCTGGGAACTTCCCAGAACTACAGCATCTCAGACTCCAGCCCCAGGAATCTGAGTTTTAACAAGGTCTCCAGGTGACTCTGACGCAAGCTAAAGCCAGTGAAAAATGTGCGAGCCCAGCAGCTAGTTAAAATGAAGGTGCTGATTCAGCAGGTCTGGGGTGGAGCCCAAGATTCTGCATTTCTAACAAGCTCCCAGGTGAGGCTGATGTTGCTGATCCTTGGACCACGCTTTGAATAGCGAGGGTCTTGTATTTTTCCCTGGCATCCTCTGGCAAGAATTCCCAATGGTACTGGCCAAGAAAGTTGTAAAAGGGGCAGGCAGAGTTTCAGAAGAAACCCATTCAAATGCTTTTAAATGAACCTCCAGGGTGCAGCTGCCCAGGACTTACCTTCTTCAATATTTCTGTGTTCAGCAGCATGTAAATGTCTATAGTACGACTTTCTTCTTTAGCAAGTGCACTCAGGTTACAGTGCATTGTTAGGCAAGGAATTCCTGGTTTTTCACAGTCCTGAGAAGAAAAAGCGGAGAACTGACACACGGTAATACAAGCAAAGACAGATGCACAGCGGTGGATGGAGCAGAAGGCTCCATGTGCCTCAGTCCCGGCGACTAGGACAACTCCAGGCTGAGGAACTGCCCAGGAAGATGTCATCTTTCCTTCTTGCCACCAGAGGGCAATGGAGGGATTTCCCACCCAGGGGCACCAGAACATGTCTTCAAGTCAAGCAACTGGGAGAAAGCAGCTCACTGGTCATCCCACCCAAAAGTCGGATTTTGCAAGGAGAAAGAACTGTTTTTAAAAAGAAACACATTTACATACTCTGAAAGCGTTTTCCTTATGTGTTCTGAACACAGGATGTACTTCCTGCATTATGTAATTTCTGCCTGTGCAGCGGCAAATATAGGGTGTCCCCCCAAAATGTATACGCACTTTGAATAATTACAAAAGCAGTATTTATTAAAGTACATTTCATTTTCAAAATTGAGCTATCAGCTGTTAAAGTGCCCATTTTTTAGGTAGGGCAGATGAGAGGGCAAAGGAGTCATATGACTCAAGAAAACACAGGAGTAAAGAAAAACACATGTTGGACATGAACATATGTGAATTACCAGTACAAACCTATATCAAAATTTAAGTTACAAAAGAGTAATTTTCTTTTGTACTGCAGGATCCAAAATGTACACACATCCCTTCACGATGCTTCACGTGGTGGGTAAAATTTTCAGCCAGGTAAAGAGTTGTATCTGTCCAACAGCTAGATATCACTACGCCTAACAATTCCAAGGGCTTTTAGTTGCATCATCAGCACTAGATAAGTAAAAGAGCCCACCACTCCAAGTGGCAAAGAGCCCCACATCTTCTACAGGAATAAAAATGCTACGAGACACGCCTACGTTGGAAAAAGAAGCTAAAGAGGCGGAACCAAAGATACGGGGAAAGGAGGCTTTGGCAAAGCATATGATTCTACCTTAAAAATGTGCACTTAAGGAAAAAACTGGGATATTACTTACATACAGCAAACGAACCGAATCTGAAGGGCCCACCTTGATAGATTTTTACATATGCTTATACCCAGATCAAGTTGTAGAACACGGACAGTTCCTAGGCGGGTTCTCTCACGCCCCATCCTATTGATATTCCTCCCAAAGTAACCCCTCTCCTGACCTCCATGGCCACTGGTAGCTTTGCTATTGCTGAGCATCCTATCAGTGAAATAGTACAATATGTGTCCTTTAGTCTCTCGCTCTGCCACCCAAACATTACGTCTAGGAGATTCGTTCATGTCATTGCAGGCAGCAGTTTTCTGTGGCTCTGTGATATTCCAGCGGATGGGGACACCACAGTGTCTACTCACGCTCCTGTTGATGGATATTTGGACTGTTCCCAGCTTTTGGCTATAATAAGAGGAGTGTGATTCTTGTCCACCTCTTTCGGGGGACACAAGGACTCATTTCTCTTGGGGATATACTTGTGAGTGGAATTGCTGGGTCGCAGAGTACAAATATCTTCAGTTTTAATAGATACTGCCCAGCAGTTTTCCATAGTGGTTGTACAAGAAGCATCCCTCTTGATTAGACTCCTACTGGTTGGGGAAATGTTTTACTGCTCTGTGCTTGGTGGGATGCAAAGACTTTCCCTTTGCCATTCAATGGAACTTGAAATGTCAATTGAACACTGTGATTGAAACCTCAGGCTGAAAAACAGGAGCTGACCACAGTCCTTGTGACTTTCGAAGACAACTGATTCAAACCAGATTGGGGGAATAATAAATGCCAAATAGAAAACTGGCCTCTCATCTCAGACTTGCCTTCTTAGTAAGGACCACCCATGCTGACCCAGCCAGAAAGCAAATTCTTACCAGGACTTTCCTTCCAGACTTTGTGAAAAAAGCAAATATAGTGTGGAAGATATTTTCTTGTTCTTGAGGGATGATGCAGGGAGTGGGGTTTTTCTGGAAAGAACAGTTTCCCTTCTCTTGGCCCACCTAAAAATGAAAAGAAATCTGTCAGAGGGGTCTAACCAAGAACGGATCACGAGCATAGAATCTTACTGCAGAGGCAGTGAGAGTCAAGCCCAAGGTCAACGTTCCCCCTTGTCCGTTCTCCAGCGGACAACAATGTTGGAAGAGCTGCGAGGCGGAACCAGTAGCATCAACATGGCCCAACAGGAGAGAATGTAGATCCCCTGTCCTTAAATAACGGAGATGAGATGGCACACAACATGCAAGTGAGGTGTGTCTAGGAAACAGGACGAACATGGATCTACACTTCATGGTTTCCGAGGCACACTTACAAGCATCTTTACAGCTCCCTGAGATAAGCATTCGTGCTCTTGGTCCGGAGGAGGGAGATGAGACTCGGGGTAAGTCACTTGCCAACAATCACTGAGTCCAGCCGGTTTTGAACCCAGGTCTTCTGAGACCAAACCTTTATGCATGGTCCACTGGGTTCCAAGGAACCCCTAGAGCGTTTGAAAATGCTTTCAAGCCTCGCAGCCACCACACTGAGTCAGACAGGAGCTTAAATGCCCAGTGAGCTCTTGGTGAGTTACCCGATTTTGCTTCTGACAGTGGCAGCAAAGGTGCTGAGTGGCAGCAACATTAAAAAAAAAAAGAAACCAAAAACAACGGTGTACAGTCTCCCGTGTTGATTTCTTTAAGGACATTATTTTTAATGCCTAAATTGAGGAATTGGAAAAACAAGGTCTTCATTATATATTATCACATTACACTGGTTGAAGCTGGAGACTCAGACGTGGTTTAAGGTCAAGTTGCAAGATTAATACTTAGTCATTCATAATTTAGGATTGTGTTTAGAACTCCATCTCTAACCAGAACATCTGTTTAAACTCGCCCGCCTTTAATGCCCTTGAGTAGGATATAATGTACAGTTTGAATTTATTGAAGAATTTTTCAATTTCTCATTCATGGCAGGCTTAATTTAAAATTTTTACATAAAGAAACTTCCAACTTAAGCTAACAATGTTAATCTTTTTAATAATGAACTATAAAACAAGATCTCCAAGTTTGCCAAATTAATCTCTTCTTATCTTCAGTCTGAACATATATGCCAGGGTTTCCTACATAGTGTAGAGGCCTAAATTAGATGAAGATATAGTTCCTCAAACTGAGTATCAGAAGAGTGTTGCCCTTACAGACCTCTCACAGTTTACAACTTATTATTCCTTTTAAGTATCTCATAATTCGGTATTCTCTCAACTACTTTATTTGAACCACAAAATCTGGGAAGACATACCAGCCTGAAATGGTCTCAATCAGTTGGTTTTGGATGCTTTCTGAGGTTACTGGAGGGAACAGATGGGAAGGAAGCAATGAGATTGAATACATATTTGGGGATTACTCCTGGGATGCCATTGTTGTAAGCTGTGATAAATATTTTAAAATAAAGCTCATTTCAGAAAGCAAAACCTAAGCTGCTTATGTAGTGAGGATCGTCGAGTAATTACTTATCAGACAAGTGAGAAATACAGTTACTGCAGTTATACAAATGGGTGTGTGTTTCTTTCAATAACATTTCAGCATCAAACATGGATTCAAAATGTTCTGTGTTCCAAATAAATTGATAAACTGAAGATGATAGGCTCTGGAAATCTGTTGACTAAACAATGTCTGAGTAATATACATTGATCTTGAAAGATGGACGTGTGCATAAAATCCTTTTGTGAAATATGTAACTAGGAAGAGTGATATAAATTAATGTATTATTCTTATATAATTGTAAGTACAGTAGGCCCTCTTTATCCATGGGGGATATGTTCCAAGATCCCCAGAGGATGCCTGAAGCAGCAGAAAGTACTGAACCCTATATAAACTACTACGCTTTTCCCTGTATGTACATACATTTTCAGTGAAAGGAATCACTTTACGACTTCTCTTTGGCATGTCCGAATTGCCAGCATCACTACTCTTGAGCTCTGGGGCCATTATTAAATAAGGGCGACTTGGACACAAACACTGGATACCAGGACAGTCGATCTGATAACCAAAGACAGCTACTAGTGACCTACAGGCAGGTGACATCTACAGCATGGATTTGATGGACAAAGGGACGATTCATGTCCCGGGTGGAATGGAGCTGGACAGCTCAAGATTTCATCATGCTATTCAGAAAAGTGTCTAATTTAAAACTGATGAGTTACTTATTTCTGAAATTTTCCATTTATTATTTTCGGACCATGGTTGACATTGGGTAACTGAAACTGTGGAAAGCAAAACCACAGATAAGGGGGGACTACTGTATGCAACTACCTGATTAGGTTAAATATTATTAAGTAGATATTATTTAATTCATTATTATAACTTTTTAAATATATATATATATCTTTACTGATTTCAGAGAGAGGAAGGAAGAGGGAGAGAGAGAGAGAGAGAGAGAGAGAGAGAGAAATATCAATGATGACAGTCACTGATTGGCTGCCTCCTGTACGCCCGACTGGGGATCGAACCCGCAACTGGGGCATGTGCCCTGACCGGGAATCGAACCTTGATCTCCTGGATCCTAGGTCGAAGCTCAACCGCTGAGCCATGCCCGGCCAGGCTATTATAACTTTTTATTGGTATAAAATTTACATTCACTAAAGTGCTTAGATCTTTTTTGTTTTTCAATCCTCACCTGAGGACATGCGGCGAAAGAGAGAAAAACACTAATGAGTTCACCTCATTAGGGGAGTGGGGGGTTGGGTTATTTGGGGGTTGCTCTCCATTGAGGCATAGAGAACATATTACAGATGGGAAACACTTCGCTTGCTCATTGAGCATTTGAGAATCTGAACGTGTGCTCATGTTCCTAATTTAATCACTTTTCACTCTGAGGCACTGGGTCTCTACTTCCCCGCTTGCCTTCTGGAGGGGACGTCTGCTGAAAGGCCACTGGAAAATGGTCCTCAGCCCTGTGGCACACATTCCTCTGCGGAGATGGTCAGACCCCGCCACCCAAACACATTAGAAAAACAGGCCCCCTGAGTCCTGCAGGATGCATCGTCCTAATTAACGTCAGGGAGGAGGCAGGGCTCCTCCTGGCTCTGCGGATGGGCACTCTGGGCCCCCAGGCCAGGAGAAAGTGTGGGAGCAGACCCTACCTAGGCCAGTTCACTCCCAAGCTTTGGGTGAGGCCTGGCACCATCACCCCCACAAGACCTGAGCACAGAGGGCAGGGAGCCGGGGACAGCGGGGCCAGGGGGCGAGAAACCGCCGAAGCCGCCCCCGAACGGCGGGCAGAGACCTGGCTCAGGACTTCCTTTTCCTTTCCCGCCCCGGGAGTCGCCAGGGCGGCCCGAGCACCGGGTGATGACGATGACATGATGCGATCGATGTGACATTTGATCGGCCCCAGTGGAATCTGGAGAAGGGAAGTGGAGACTGAGTTCGCAGCGAATGAAAATCTCAGCCAGTTGCGCTCCCAGCTGCGGTTCGGTGGGAATCACTTCAAGCAAGAAAGCGGCGTTTCTCCTGGGCGGCGGGGGCGGCCCTCCCCCGAGGGAGGCCGAAGGCTGCCCGGTGCGGTGCGGTGCTGCGGCTGCCTGCGGCCAGCCGGTTCTGCTGCAGGCGCTTCCTCGGCTACCACTGAGCAACAGTCCCGGCCGGGGTCATCCAAGGGAAGCATGTTCCCACTGTGTTAGGTACCCATGTATGAGACGCCAGTAAGACCCGGAACTTGTGCAGCCCTACTGTGTGCCAGGCTCTGAGTGCTTTACACAAATAAACGCATCCAGTCCTCACTCCCACCAGGTGAGTGCTATTACTACCCCACTGAGACGCAAGGGGGGCGTGGATGCCTGCCAGAGGCCCCCCAATGGCAGGTGGCAGAGCCAGGTTGGAATGCAGGCGTCTAGCTCCAGAGATCTGCTTGTGACCACCTTTCTGCCTCTCAGATATGGAGGATGAGGGTGGCATGGGGCTGAGGCGACAGTCAGGGAGGGGTGGGGGTGGAGGGAAGCCACCCCTCCCTGTTTTGACCTTGGTCAAAAGGAAGGAACCAGTAGCCTAGAAGCCTGGGAATCTCAGAGTCCTCACTGTGACCCAGTTCTGCTGCAGTGGCAAAAAAAAAAAAAAAAGACTCTTGCGTAGACCATGGGAGATAAAAGTGCCTGCTGGCCAGGAGGCCAGGCCACCCCATGCTGTCCTGGGCTGGAAGGGGAACAGAGCATCCTGGAATGTTGTTTCTGGAAGGCAGCTCTGAGGTCCCATGGTCCCGTGGCCTCGGGTGTCAGATAAAGAACCAGAGACCCCAAATTCTGTGACTAGTCCTAGGTTATGTGATTGGCTGTGGGCATAAGTGGCACCAGTGAAGGAATCCTGTGGCACAGATGGCCTTGATGACCACTTGATGGTCCTGGGCCTCAGCCTGAGCTCTGCCTCCTAACAGCTGTGCCAATTCAGATCTCCAGGGCCTCAGTTTCCTTGTGTGCAAAATGATGATGGTGGCCTATGCAGTCACTAAGGTAGGCCTCCTTGCCAATCCCACACTTTGAGGACTATCTGGGCATTGTTTTATTTTATTTTTTAAAATTTACCTTTATTGATCTGTGAATTTTTTAAACAAGATTTTTAGAGAAAGAGGAAGGGAGAGGAAGAGAGAAACACATGCATCTGAGAGCAAAACATCGACTGGCTGCCTCCTGCATGCCCCCTACCAGGGATCTAGCCCAAAACCGGGGCATGTACCCTCACCAGGACCAGGAAGCAAACCAGCAACCTTTTGGTGCACTATCTGTGCATTTTAATTAGAACATGGGGTCACCTAATGTCACATTAAACAGATAAGCAATTGCTGACCACTCCACTTCCCTCAACACACAACTTGGTTCTAACCACCCTCTCTGCTCAAAATCAAGGGGTAGTAATGTTTTCTTTCTGTACCGCAGACAAGCTAAGCGTCACAGTGCTAATGTCCAGAAGCTTCGTTTCCTTGTCTGGCCAAGGACTCTGTGGCCATTGCCCCCTACATCTCTCTGCCCACTCACTTC